CTATTGCCATCGTTTATTCTATACACCAGCCTCTGGTATATACTGTGCACATCAGTCTTCCTGTGCATCTATTCCACTGAGTATAACCAGTTTCTCTAACATAAGTAACATTATATATTATTGGTAGACTTTTGCTTTTTGTTTTTTAACCTTTAAAATAGTATTTTTTTTTTACATTACTAAATCAAGATAATTAAAATTTTTATTGTTGGGGGAGGGGGATAAGGGAGGAATTGGTAAAGGGCCATGAAAAAATGATTACATTGTATAATGTTGAATATAATAATTATCCTGATTTGAGCATCACATGTTGCACACAGGTATTGAAATTCAACTCTGTACCCCATATATGTATAATCAACTATGTTTCAATAAGTAAATAAATAAAATTCTTTTTGTCATTACTTAGTAATGAAAGTGACAGAATCAGAAAGTACCTCTAATTTGTTACATACACACACACACACACACACACACCCCAATTTTTTGGGTCTGGGAGAAAAAAAGCAGCTTCTGACCTCCTCGTGGTTCTTCTTCAGGTAGGCCAGCTCTTCAGTCAGGTTCTCGATCTGCATCTCCAGGTCGGCTCTGGCCAGGGTCAGCTCGTCCAGCACCCTGCGCAGCCCGTTGATGTCGGCCTCCACGGTCTGGCGCAGGGCCAGCTCATTCTCATACCTGAAAACCAAGTGCAAAACAGTTTTGGAAAACAACACAACCATTTGAACAAGGTCCCTGCCATCCTCAGGGCTATTTCATGCATAAATTTGTGCGGCTATTTAAAAATAGCAGCATTGCAGTATACAATGTAATTTAGCTTTTATAACTTATTCCTTTTCTTTTTTTCATCATAGGTGACTACTCAGGTGGAGAGGAGAAGAAAAGTGAAAAAATTATGAGCTGATATTTTTCTACTTTCAATGAACCCCAATAGCACTGCAACACAGGGAACAGGCCCCCCCTTTGACTGGCTGCCGTGGCTGTGAACAGCAGCAGCCCCTCCCTAGGTAGATGCCATCTCTCTAATGGCATCCTAAATGCAGTTGAAAATAAAGTAATAGTTACTCTTTTTGCTCAACTTTCTTTATGATTTAATTTAAAACATAGATACTTCTTTAGTAGCTTTTACCAAGACTTTACAGATTCAGGACTATTGCCACAGCAACTTCCTGTGTGGATATTTTGTGAAGCAAAAAAGAAATTAGTATTTCTTCCTTATGTCTTCCTTATGTCTGGGAGAGGAAGTGTGGGAAAGAAAGTGGGAATATAAAAATAAATACATAGTTAATCTTTCAGTTGTATGTGTCATCATTAAAACAATCATTTCATTTAACCTCTTGGCAAAAACGTTATTATTCATTTTGATACATTGAAAATTGAGGGTTAGGCATTGGTAGAATTGTCATGTCCCATCTTAAGTCAATAATAGCACATTAAAAACATGGTGATCCCTAGGTTTAAGTAACTTATAATTTAAGGACAATTAATGGGAATTGCGTTTGATTCAAATTACTTTCTAGAATGCCCTGTGTGAATTTACCAAAACTCTAGATGTATGGGAGCATGTGAACTGCAGAAGATTTGAAATATTTTCAATTAATGAAGACAAGAAAATAGGGAAAAAATGGTGAGACATGTCAATTTTCATCAATCTTTCCAACTCACTTCATTCTGAAATCCTCAGCAGCCAGTCTTGCATTGTCAATTTGCAGGATGAGCTGGGCATTTCCAATGCTGGCAGAGATGATCTGGCAAAATAGGAGCAGAAACACAAAATGAAGTCCTAAAATGCCAGTATTATACAAACACGTTTTTGACCATCAAAGTGGTGATGTCAAATGCTGCTTTATTAAGAGTTTAAGGCAGTTTCATTTTTCTACAAAATATATTTATGGAATAATATTAAAATATTAAAACATATTAAAATATTAAGAAAGGTAGTGGAAATACAATCAATTTGGTAAATGATGAAACTAAACATTCCGAGATGAGAAATTGCTCCAAATATATTCAAATTGAAAAATACTTCAGCAGTAGGTGATTATTACTGTAAAATATTGTAATTGTAAAAAGGAAAAATAATTTTCAAAGCCCCTGCCACACATTCTTACCTTATTCCTGAGGTCTTCGATCAATGGGTAGAATTTACTGTAATCACTCCGTGACTCGGAATCTGCAGTCCCTGTTCCTCGTGTTTCATACCATTCTCGAATTTTGTTTTCTAGCTCAGTATTAGCTTCTTCTAGAGCTCGAACCTTATCCAGGTAGGAAGCTAATCTATCGTTAAGATTTTGCATGGTTTCTTTTTCTGATCCAGAAAGAAGGCCGCCATCATTGCCAGAGAGAATAACTAGAGAGCCACCTCCTGAGCTCCCCCCAAATCCAGTTCCTAGCCCTCCAAAGCCACCTCCTGAGCTCCCCCCAAATCCAATTCCTAGCCCTCCAAAGCCACCTCCCAGGGCTCCCCCAGAACCATTGCCCAGCCCTCCTGCCAAAGAACTTCCTGAGCCACCACCAAAGCCCAAACTAGAACCAAACATGGAAGCAGCAGAAAAGCCTCCCCCACTGCTGGCTCCAAAGCCAAATGTGTTTCCTCCATAGCCACTTCCAATACTGGAAGCAGACATGCCCCTGGATCTGCCTGCTGTCCCACTTTGGGAGGACAGCCTCCGGGACAGTCCAGGGGTGCGCACTGAGTGTGACATGGTGTAGCTGGAGAGATTCACAGCCCGGGGAAGGTGGTGACAACCAGAGAGGAAGAAGTGTCAGTAAGCCAGGAGGTTAACCTTTTATACAGGCTGTGAGATGGGTGTTGCAGTTGAAAAGTTCATATTCTTCATCAAAATAGGGTGCCTCCCTACCCTTTTTTTGGCCAGCTCAAGAAGTAAGTGATGTATATATAATGAAAATTCACTGATATGGAGATAATCGGATGATCATTTCCATTAAGTGTTTGTTAAACAAAAAAGAAAGCTGGGTGGGGTAAATTCAGTAGGTTGTCATAAGGAATCTTGCTTCTCCAAATTATTCAGTTATTCAATTATTCTATTGCTTGTAATCTCAGCACTGTCCAGTGTCTCATACACAGCAGGAAAGCAATGAGTGATTGTTGAATGGATAAATTAATGAATACTTCTTTCTAAACCGTAAACTTTTAAAGCTTCTTCACCTTTCCTCTTTGTTTCCTTTAGAAAACCTGATATAAACCACCCAGTCATGATCTAGTGTATATTTCAGTGGAATATAGTTTCCTTTTTCTCCTTATTGATAATGGCAATAAAACCTACAGTTTTCACACAATCCATTCATCTAGTCAGCACACTCATTGAGCAACTATTATGGGCAATATCTGTTGAAAGGATAAAGGTAGTAGGGGCTGAGTACAAAGCAGTGAGCAGTCAGTCAAGGTCCCTTATTTCACAGAGCTTACCAAGAAGTTCAATTCTGTGAGAAGGGGAAACTGCTGAAATGACTGTAATATTCTACTCAAAAATAGCACTTTTCAGTGCGTAAGAGGTCTTCTTTTCTGAATCAGGAAAAAGAAACCATGCAAGATCTTGATGACAAGGTTTTACTATCCCTGAAAATTCGAATTCCAGTATCAACCTGAAAAATGCTTTCTTAAGATCACATAATCAACTATCACTTGAACCTTAATAATTGGTTGGGTATTTAGCATGGATTGTAGATTCTTGGAAATTCTTTGTTGGGTTCAGATTTCTAAATTCAATTTGCTCTGTATTTGATGATAGAGAATAAAATTTCTGGGTATAAATAACGGGTTTTTTTGCAAAGAAATTTATTCTAAATTTCATTAATAAGGTATGCATTGACTGTGTGTGTGTGTTATGGATACATATGTATTTTTTCTAGAATGGATTTATTGAAATAAAATACATTAAAATAATTATACAGATTCAGTTCCTATTTTTTTGGGAAATAGGAACTTTCAGCCCTTCAAAAGGGACCTTGGTTTTCTCATAGATCGCCACCACAACTCCTCTTCAATTTGGTATATTTGGATTCTGTGTTTTATTTTATTCTAAGGAAAACTTTGTAAGTATCACTAGTATTCTAAATTTTTAAAATAAAATTGAATTGTTATTTGATTTAGTAATACACACCTTTCAAAACAAAGAGGATCTTTAGAAGGTTTTCTATACATTTTAAAGTAGAGGTTGAATTTATCTGGTAAAAATTAATTTCTCAGCACTATTACTGAATACTTGTGAGATCATTGAGAGTCTATTTATTCAGTATAAACAATCAATCATCATATTTAGCAAACACTAGGCCATTAAGATTTTGCCGAATGTGTGCAATATTTTTTGTTTCTCTTATCTACAACAATAACATGATGTTTTTTGGACATTTTTCTTCAATAGAAGAGGTAATATGAAAAATAAGCCTATAACTGTTACACAACTTGAACTATGTCAAAATGGTTTGGTTTTTTTGAAAATTAAATCAAATACTGTATTTTAATCAAACCAACCTGGAAGTATTCAAGTGTTGGGTATGCTGTTAGCTCCATCTTCAGTTTCTAGTCCATTTGCCAGTGTCTTGTAAAGAGTTAGCATTCGATACTTATCGAATTGATTTGTCTCTTGATAAATCAAGCTTTTGGGTCATGAATGTGTATTATGTATGAGGAAATTTGGGAAAATTAAAAAAGAGTATTGATAAAAAGGCAAGCTACATGGTATATTAATTTAAATATAACCAGATTCCAACACACTATGTAGACACATCCAGATGTTACTCTCATTCTAATGTTAACACACGTAATGCACATGCACAGCCAGAAACATGCACTGCAATGTCTTTGCTGGGTCCCAGTGTGCAGCATGCTCCATGCAGAGAGAGGTTCTGCAGCCTCGGCAGCTTCACCTGCCCTGGGAGCCCTTTGTCCGGAGAATACTTCTTTCTGTGGCCTTTATCTCATCAGGGTGACTCTCACAATGGTCGGCACTTGTTCTGCTTCTGTAGAGTACAGACTGACTCATGAGGAATTCCAGACCTGCCACCTGGATTCTCCCCAGTTTAGTGCCCCCTCCCACCCACCCAATATGAGTAGGTTTCTATATTTGTGATATATTGTCCTAAACTAGGCTTCTCAGGTAGGGACTATGTGTAACTTATTTTTCATGCTCAGCCCTAGTCTACTGTTTGGCTAAATGTCATCACTGCACTCCTGAAGTTCTTTCACCTGAAAGAACTTAATTCTTAATGTGTTCAAATGTGTCATTTAAAATTCATTTCATTTGAAAATGACTGCCCTAATTTACTGGTATGCTTTGACCAAGATTCATTCTAAATCCAGTTATAATGGGGAGCAACTTCCGAAGTTGAAAAAAAGAAATATTTTTTCTTCAGTGGCTTTTTTTTTAAAGGGGGGGGGGAGTAAATTAAATAATCAAGCCTCTGTTTTAGACTTTTTAGAAGTGAAAATAATATTTTTTGACAGCCGCATAAATGTATACGCAGGTGGAGATGTATAAAATAGAAACAATCTTGGGCTTGTTGGCAAGTGATTACGTAAGTGGAAGCACAGAGGAAAATGACTGGAGCCGGGGGAACTGTTCAGAAGAGTGAGGTCTTCCATTTTTGTAGAGTTTAAGGAATATTGAAAATGGAGAAAATTATTTGTGGTACTGTATTTGTAAATCTTTAGATTTAAAAAAATTATTTTGATTGACACATTGCAATTGTGCATATTTATGGGATAAAATTTGACGTTTTGATACATATATATGTATGTTGTACAATGGTCAGGTCAGGGTAGTTAGTATATCCACTGCCTCATGCATTTATCAATTCTTTGTGGTGAGAACGTTCAAAAGCCTCTCTTCTAGCTATTTTGTATACAATGCTTTACTGTTAACTAAAGTCACCTTACAGTGCAATAGAACATCATAACTTATTCCTCCTATCTAGTTGTAATTTTGTACCTGTTGGCCAATCCCTCCCCTCCCCGTCTCTGAGGTTTTTATTAAGTAGAGCATGCACTCATCTTTTCATGTCAGGTTGGTTAGTTTCCTGGTTTTTGCAGGATTTTCCAGCAGAGTTCTTTTCCTTAAAGATAGACTTGCCACTTTCCACTTTCTGCAATTCACTGATCGTTTTGTCTGTAACACCTTTCTCTTTGAGTTTTAAGATCCTATGAATGAGTGAAAGAATTTTGGGTGGCCTTTGTTTTATACTGTGCTTTTGAGATGAAGGGTAAATGAAGACCCTAAGGGGGCATGAATGAGGCTGAATACTGGACTTCAGAGCTTGATGGTCCTCAAAATCAAGGGAGGATTTTGGAGGAGGCATGTGCAGAGAGGAGAAAGATAAAATAACACCCTGGTAAGGGGAATCTTGGAAGTGAGCCTAGGGGAGAGAAAACAGGGATGTTTGAGGGGGAATTCAAAAACAGAAATCACTAACCAATGCCTTAAGTTGGATTTATTATTTGAGTGTATAATCAGGTATCTGAGACTGACCCTGAGTGCGTAAGGATGAGAACAGAGGGTGTCCAGGGGTTCATTGACTATGATTTGATTTTATGTGACTCCATGTCATTCCCCTTTTTAGATGTTGCAGGCATCTGTGTAGAAATAATCCCCAGAGCACAGAAAAAATAGTTCTTGCCATCCTAACCCTACCTCTAGGGGTTCTCTCCTGAGTTCAATAGCTGCACTTCTGCACTGATGATTTCATAAAAGATGAAATGTATTGAAGATAATTCTAATGTGTGATAAAGAGAACTATACTTAAGGACTACGAATCTTCTCTGGATCCGTATACCTGTCAAAAACAGGATCATGGTGTTCTGGTCTTAGCTCATGTAAGAAGTACAGATAGGAGGCTGGCTAGTTAGTTTACTTGGTAGAGCATGGTGCTGATAACGCCAAGATCAAGGGTTCGGATCCCCTCACTGGCCAGTTGCCAAAAAAAAAAAAAAAAAAAGAAAGTACAGATAAATATGAAGATTAATGTTTCACCTTCACACAATAACTACTGGCAGAACTGGAGGCAGAACCCTACCACCTGGTTCCACATGCACGGTCTTCACCTACTTTTTTAAAGAGGTTTCTTGGAAGAAACTAGAGATAGACCAAAAAGCAAGGGGAATATCTTTGTTTTCCTAACAGGAAACTGAGTTAAGAATAACAATCCTACCTCTTTTAACAAAGTGTCATTATTGCCATATGACAATGGTCGTGCCTAATCAGTTTCAAATCCATCAGCTTAGGTTTCTTAATCATATTAACAGACACTGGTGTCCGCGTGTCAGAATTTCAGACCATTCTGGAAAGTGTCTTGGTAGGTGAAAAAGAATTCACTTCTAAAAGTTCTTAACGTCTTTAAAAGTAATTTATTAGCTGGGAAGGAAACTAAGAAAAACAAAAAAAGCGAAACCTTTTTACTTTTCTGAAAAGCAAGGGATTGAAAATGGGTGAAAATATCTTTTCTCACAAAAGTTGTGCTGAACTAAGTCTTGTGTGTGATGTTAGCAAACAAAGCTGGCCATTTGCTACAGTTGGCTGTTGTGTCTTTTTAATGAAAATGACAACTAGAAAAGAACAAAACCGCTAAGTATAGGTAAATGCCTATGTCCGATGTGAATCACGTATTGTTTGTCCTGTTATTAGTAGCTTATCTTGGCTTTAGACAAACAGCCTTGAGGTCCAGTCTTGCTCTACTACTTGGTAACCATAGGACTTTGGGAAAATACTTATCTCATGTCATCATATATAATCGTCATTAATTCTCATATGTAAAATATGGATAATAAGGTTGAACCATATGAAATGCTTTTTTTGAATGTCAAAAATTATTGTACATTGGCAAGTTTATGTGATTCAACTTAATAGCTTCTATCTCATAAGAGTATTGTGAGAATTAAATGAGAAATGCATAAAATGCTTGGCACACTGTTTGGCTCATAGTAAGCACTTAATAAATGGTAGATATAATTATTCGGAAGTGAATCACATAATTATTTTTTATCCAATAATCAAACTCCAAGTCCTATTATTTACAAACTTCTATATAGAATTTTAAGCCCAACCTATCTATTTACTAGAACACTGATATAGGTCAAATTTATTTTTCTTATAAACATTCATAGGCAGTTGTTGCTAACTAAAATGCAAGAACTATGAGAATATAATAGGTGTGTTTAAAAAAAAAATCTAGCTGCTTTCACTTAGCGTAATGTTTCAGAGGCTCATCCATGTTGTGGCATGTATCAGTACTTCATTCCTTTTTATTGCTGAATAATATTCTATTGTATGGCTATACCACATGTTGTTTATCCACTCATCAGTTGATGGACATTTGGGTTGTTTCCACTTTGGGGCTGTTATTAATAATGCTGTTATAAACATTTGTGTACAAAGAACACATGGTATGATTTCATTTATGTAAAATGTTCAGAATAGGCAAACCAATAGATAGAAGAAGTAGATTAGTGGTTGTCAGGGGCTGGGGGGTAAGGGAATGGGGGTGACTGCTAGTGGGTATGGGGTTTCTTTTCGGGTTGAAAACGTTCTAAAACTAGATAGTGGTGGTGGTTGCACAACCTCGTGAACATATCAATGACCACTGAATCGCGCACGTTACAGGGATGGATTTCATGGTGTATGAATTATATCTCAGTAAAGCTACTATTAAAAAAGTGGTGAGAAACATTTCATCATATACATTCACCACATAAAGAAAGAGAGAACCTGATGATTAATGCAGTTTATTATCAGAAGGAGATACATTCGGCCTTGAGAAAGATTTTACTAATTTTGCTTTTAATCTAATTCGATTTCAAACATATTGTGCTTCATTCTTATTTTGCTCAGCATTTGTGATTGGAATTTGACTCTCAAATTATTTCAAGAGCTGAGTTGAGCTTTAGAAGGCAATAGAAACAGTGGCCAAGAGCAGATACAGATCCAAGGTAGGATAATTGTACTGATACTGAAAATCTAATTAGGTTATCCAAGAAACTGGCTCAATTAAGAATCCAGGATCTCTGAAAAGGGATTTTTTTGCAATTCAGAAACTGGAAAAAAAATCACAGAGAGGTTTATTTGCAATTTGCATAGACACTTCTGTTTTGTGAGGTTTAACGTAATTGAAGTGTACTGTAATTTTCAGGAACATTACCTACAAATTGATATTAGGTGGTCGACAGCTTGGAATTAATGTGCTTCACGATAAAGATGGCAGTAATGATGTTTTAAATATTCTGGTGCTCATTGGATTTCAGTTTTGCAGGCAATTTGTGGCTCCTCTGAGTAAAATATTTATATTCAATTACAAGAGACTGATAAATAGACTCCTCTCCTTTCTAATCACTACAAAGTATTAATAGTGTTTTCTCATGGCCACTTTCTTGTAGGGAGCAAAAATTACCGCGACATTTCTTTCAAAACCACAGCAGCATCTCCTCTGGCTGTTGTTTGTTTCTTTTTTTCCACTTCTATGGTTCCATGTCCCACAGTCCCGTCCCGCAGAAGGATTGTTGGTGCTTGTTTTCTTTATCCCTGAATTCATATTAAACACTAAATGTTAATTTGGGCACATGGCTGCTGATTTATAACATTCAACTTTAAACTATCATTATTTTCTACTTAATATTCAATTTTAAATTATCATTATTTTGTACTTATTTCCTTCTTTTAGAAAAAATGTTGAAGCCATTCTCTTTCTTCGATAATCTGAAGTCCATTTTATAAATAAAAGCAAGAAATGTGCCACTCTCCCCAAATTTACACATTTTCTATTCTCCCCAACCCCAAACAGAAATACACAATCTTAAGTTAAGCAAAATTCACGTTTTAGCCTTAGTTCCAGGATGTCTCAGGACAGCAATGGCACAGACACACAGCCTGACATAGCGAGTGTGCTAAAATTCCCACATGCAGGGTTCTTTTATGCTATACACAAGATTTTTAGACTCCCTGGTGTCATACCTGCTCACTTGAGAATTGGCCTCTGGTATGATTTGAATATGTCCCCCAAATTCATGTGCTGGAGGCTTAATCCCCAATGCAACAGTGTTAGAAGGTGGGGCCTAATAAGAGGTGAACGAACGGATTAACGTCCTTATTGTGAGAGTGGGTTAGTTATCATGAGAGGGGGCTTGTTATCAAATCCACTTTGGCCCCCTCTTGCTCTCTGGCTCTCATGCCTTCTTGCCCTTTTGCCTTCTGCCATGTGACAATGCAGTAAAAAGGCCCTCACCACGTGACGACACCTTGATATTAGATCTCCCAGTAACAACCGGGAGCCACATAAACTTCTATTGCTTATGAATTATTCAGTCTCACGTGTGCTGCTCCAGCAGCAGAAAACAGACTAAGACAGTTTCCCTTTACTTTTCACCAGTGGCAGACAGTTAATGCAAAACTGCTGAGAGAGATTTCAGTGCCATAGAAAATGCACAAAAATTTGGAAACTAACCTCTCTCTTCCAGGGTGTCTAATTGATATTCTGTACTTCTTCTTTTTTTTTTTTTCCTTTTTGTCTTTTTTTACTGACCGGTAACGGGATCGCAACCCTCGGTGTTGCGTCCGCACCGTGCTCAGCCAGTGAGCGGGAACCGGTCTCCACATGGGATCCGAACCCTCGGTGGGAGCACCGCCGCACTCCCAAGCGGCGCACTCTCCAGTGCGCCACCGGGCCGGCCCGATATTCTGTACTTCTGTTTTTTGTTTTTGTTTTTATCAAGGAAGGGAGAAGAAATGGAAAAAAGTGCTACTGCAATTTTAAAAATGGAATGCTCTTCTGCTTTTATGTTTCAGAGCAAAGTCTGAGTGACGTGTGTCTGAATGCTGTTTTTGTATTTCTCTCCCTTTTACAATGCTTGTTATTTCAAACTTGACTGTCTTACTTTTTAACTTGAAAAATACAGAGCTTCAAAATCGATCCATTTAACATGTGCTAGAAATTTTCGTAATTAAAATAACAAAATTACAATGGATGCTTATTTTATTTTGTTTTTTTGAGTTCCTTCTTATCCTTGGTTGTGTTAGATTTTATTAATATTTATGTTCTGGTTTGTACTTTCATCCTCAATTTTGTTCAGCATAGAATTTAATTTTTTTTTTTTTTTTTTTTGTCTTTTTCCGTGTCCGGCAACGGATCGCAACCCTCAGTGTTGCCCCCGTACCGGACCGGGACCGGCAATGGGATTGCAACCCTCGGCTTTGCCCCCGTGCCTCGCTCAGCCAGTGAGCGGGAACCAGTCTGTACGTGGGATCCGAACCCTTGGCGGGAGCGCAGCCGCGCTTCCTAAGCGGCGCACTAGCACAGTGCGCCACCGGGCCGGCCCAGAATTTAATTTTTTAACTTTAGAAATTATCATATAAATATGTAGGATTATATGCTTTGGTTATCAGTGCTTTCTTTTCAGTCCTCTTTTATAATTAAATCTCCTATTCTCAATATTCAGTCTGAAATAATCTGTTCTCAAACTGGCTCCTGTGGACCTCTGTGGCCTATTGTTTAATTCATTAGTTCTCACTGAGAATTTTTAAAAAGTTATTGTGTTTTCCATTATATATTAATCATAAAAATTAAGATAAGCATAATCTGTGTCATTTGAATAACCAGCTTCTAACTCAGTCCTACCCCATGACTTCAAATACAAAGTACTTGATATTTTGGGCATGTGCATACTTCTTGGTATATTTTTGTTTTGTTGTTGTTGTTGTTGTGTGTGTGTGTGTGTGTGTATAATTGCTTTTGTGTTAAGAATTGTGTTGGTGCTGGATAATGAGTGACAGGAATATTAAAATAGGATAGCATATAGAAATTGACACATATCCCTTGATTCTAAGAGCCTTACTTTACATCTTCTCCATTCAGAAGGTGGCTGTAAGTAGCGATTTCTTGCTCTAGCCGGGACTTTGTGTCAAGAAGAATATTGTAGTCATTCTTCTGGCGTTCTGTGTCATTCCGAATCTGTGTCAATTCTGCCTCTAGAAAATGTATCTTTTCCTGGATGGTGACCAACTGACCCTTAAAACGAGCGTCGGTAGACTCTACTGTTAGGTGCAAAGATTCTTTCTACGAGCACAAGAAAAAGAGGGTGTTATTTATTTGAGGACTTGACTTAAGAGGTGGATCCATTTTAATTCTAGGCAACCTCAGCCAGCCAGCTAGGATCACTAACTAGCTCTTGAGTTTTTCTTAGTTTGTCTATAGTTTTGCACCCACTGTTCTCTTGGTGTGGTACGTTGTATTATTGTTCTGAATATTTGTTACACCTCCCACCCTTTCATCAGGTCTGGCCATGTGATTTGTGGTGTGTCTCAGGAGGATTAGATTTCCTCAGCCCATTGAGAAGAGGCTCTTCATGGGGCTTTCTCTGGCTAATGAAATGGGGGTGAAACTGACAAAGGCCTTTTCTGAAAAGAAGGTTTAAGAGCCATCACGTGGCCCGGCCATTGTTCTTTTCTTTCTGCCACAACACTGGCATGTCCCAGACAGGGTCTACTCCGTTAGTCTTACCCTTGGTGTGGAAATACCACGAGTGGAGCTGCAGCCAGCCACGATGGACACAGTGCTGTTTCTGTAGGCCATGTGATTTCAGGGTTACCACAGCATAACTGATCAGGGGCTGACCAAGCTGCTTAACCTGGAATATCTCTGCTCCTATACTCCTGCTTAAAAATTTATCTCAAATTTTAAGATCTAGTTTAAATGCCACCTGCCCTGTGAAACCTTCCAGATCTACTCTTTCCTCTGCATTTGTGCAGTATGTTGCCCTTTCCTCCATTTCTATTTTTTAATTATAATCAGTTGCTCGACCTGTTTCTCTACTGGCTCTGCAAGGTTATTTCTTCTAGGTCTTTGCGTTTCCAGAGTTCCTAAGAAGGGCATGTAGTAAACACATGCTGGATTGAGAAACAGAAATTAGATGCACTTTACCGTACTGAGACTGGACCGAAGCTCTGTCTCTATGTGCTCATAGGTTTGTCTCAGCTGCAGTAGTTGAGTCTCAATTTTTTCACTCTCTTCTCTTTGCACTGTGACTTCATGCTCCAGAATTTCAATCTAAAGTTCCAAGAATGGGGGAAAAATGAATATAGAAAGAAGGGAAGGAAATAAGTTATTTTTTTCTGGAGGACAGCTTCCACGCATTTGCTCACCCTTTAGAAATATGCTATTACCTGTCTCTGAAACTGTTCTGTAATTTCTTGACGGATCTTCTCGAGTGTGACTTCATATTTCTCCCTCAAGGTAGTCAGGATGACACTGAGGCTTTGGCTTGGAGCAGCATCCACCTCCACTTTGACCTTGTTGCCCAGAAGCCCACGCAGGCCATCGACTTCCTATAAGAGTGAAAATTCTGATTGATTTTCTTCTGAAGCACAATCTCAGAAAAGGCTGAGCAGAAAAAATATAAGAAGTCTTGTGGCTTTTTCATTGGGAATGAGTAAAAAAGAAAGGAAATAAAAACTTTTGTAGGGCTTATTGTGGCCCAGGTACTGCTCTAAGTCATTCGACCTGCAGCGACCTAATGAAAAGAGGTTGGGGCTCACATCATTATCACTGTCATCTTTATGGTCACTGTCACCACCACCACCAATTCTTCTTTCTCCTCCTGTTTCCCCTTCTTATCATTGTTAGAGCTGTTCCACCATTCCCAATACCTCTTCTGAATCTTTTCTCACCTCCTGATGCTCTTTTTTGAGGAGAACCAGCTCTTTATTCAGTCCTTCAATTTGAATCTCCAAGTCTGTTTTACAAACGGTTAGATCATCAATGACCTTATTCTGGCCCCGGATATCGGCCTCCACTGTTAAGTGAAACCCCCTCTCGGTTTCATACCTGTGAATTAGTATGCAAGGTAACTGAGTCTTTCTGAAGCCATTATAGGAGAGATAACCTAATATAACAAGACATTTTTATTTGGTATATAAGGAGATCAATTTCAGTACTTTATAATGTCTCCCTTTATACATTCATGAAATGTGCATGAAAACCTAGTAATCAGATAATTTGCTCCATAATATAATCTTTGTGAATTGGAGTGATTGGTAAAAAAGATAATCTGAAATAACTTCAAAAGTTTCTAAGTTCTAGAATATATTTAAAAAAAGATTTTAGAAATTGTTCTAATTACTGTGTTAGCAGAGTTCTTATTATTGATGTTAAATGATGGTTAGTTTTACTTAATGAATACACATGGCCAATTCACTCTTTTAACCTTTAAATAGAAGCATACAAGGTGAACTAACTCAGACATTCATACATTTTCCTCTACAGTCTTATATACACTCATTTTTTAAAAACAGCAAACTTTAAAAAAATGATAATGCAATGGGTCACTCAGGTGCTGACAGTAAAATTGGAATCAATGAACTTTTCTGCTTTAATCTTCAGATATACTTTCCCATTTCCTTCTTTTTAATCCCTTGTAGCATTAAAATGTTACCCTTCTAAGCCACAAAGGACATTTTAGTGTTAATGCATTGTACAAATTCAGGATGAGGAAACCCCAGTGTGGAAGCAGTTTATAGGGAACAGCTCCGATCACCTGTGGAGTGATGACTACAGAGAAAGTGAGCACAATTTGAAGCGTATTAATTACAGATTAATACTAGCTCTTTGGTTGTTCAGACCATGTTGTAAAACACTGGCATACTAGAAAGCGTCAAGACTCACGCCTTGAACTTGGGTCATACACTTACAGACACTTGAAAGAACACGGAAAGCTATTGGAGAACCACTACAGACAGACGTATGGCTCTCTTTAAATAACAGAAGGGTGCTTATGCAGAAGGGGGATTGTAAATTGCTTTGTTATTACTCCAAAGGGCAGAATTAGGTTCAGTGGGTGAAAAGGTAGATGCCAGGCTACTAAAAAAGAACATTTCAGCAACCAGAGCTAACCAAAGAGAACAGTATTAGTTACAGGAGATGTTCAGTTACATGTTCGGTGACCAAACCTTAGGACTGTGGGAGAGAGAAGTCCATCCCTGAATGCTGGGCTGGACCAGACAGCTTCTAACATCCTTTAAGCTTCAAGATTCTGAAAAAATTTGATGGTAGTTCCTTTACCAACAATATGGGAAGCTGAGTGTCATGAAATTCTGCTAAAAGGAATTCTTTTACAGAAAGTTTTGAGACAGTCTTAGAGGACCTACTTCAGTCTAAAGTCCTCAGCAGCCAGTTTAGCATTACCAACTTGCAGGAAACATCGGGCATTTTGCAGTTGAGCATCCCTAATCTGGAAAAAACATGAAAAATAATGACATTTTCAACTGGATAGGAGTTTGAAATGATAGAATTTATCCTCAGATACAGCTACAATTATATCAAAGATGATGCTCATTTCAGAAATTTCCACATGACAATAGATTAGAAGAATGATGACAAGGGTAGTTAGCATAATAGAGTCATAAAATGCAACTTTAGTCCCCAGGGTTTGTGATTTTACAAAAGGAGAATTTAACTCAGCAGGAGTCATCAAACCTTGCTGAGTGCCTTGCCTTTGATGTTGTTTCTGCACAGAACATTCCTGTTAGCCCCTCTCATCTGGGGAACTCCCCGTCTTTCTTCGCACCTCTGCTTAGACACCATCGCTTCACGAGAGCCTTCAACGATATCCTCAAAACTGAGCTGGAACGTCTGCCTGTGCACTCGTTGCCCTATACAGCCCTCCTGCTAGCTGTTATCTCTCTATCCATGCCTTTGTCTATGCCTGTTTCTTCCAAAATTGCATTATGTTCACCATATTTCCCACTGTCCAGTACGATGCCCAGCACCTAGTGAGAGTCCACTAAGTACTTGCTGAATGAATGCACACTTGTTGTATATTGGGAGTTGTTAGGCACTGGGGATATCAGGACAGATAAGCCCTGGATCTTAAGAAGAGATTAACTAATGGATGAGTTCTCTAAGATGCATATTGATCAGAAGCTGCTTGTAGAAGATGTTACAACGACATGTCTCTCTCAGTGGATCCAGTCCTGGAGAGGGCTGCCTTCTTATGCTGGGTCTGCCCAGCTAAATGGAACTGAAGTCTGTGCCTAAGTATTTGGGATGATCCAAGGTAGATTCAGAAACATGAATGATGAGACAGGTGTGGGGGAATGGCTGGCTTATTTTGAATGTTTTTAGTGTGAGCCTGGCAAAGATGACCTGAAAGTAGGAAGGGCAATTTAAACACTGTTGCGTTACATGCCCGTAGTTTCTGAAATCCCAAAGAAACTTCCCATAGAGTCTGAGTCAAATTACACTGATGTATACACAACTTGAGAAAAGAGACTCGCTGGTAAGAGGCCTTTGCTCTAAAGTAATATGAATCTTAAAATAGAAATGAAAATGAAAGGGACGCTTTTCTTCATTAGATGAGAACATTAAAGCAAAGCAAGTGCTCCGTGTCATATCTGGAATCCTCGGATAGGAGCAAAATCTTC